ATCCATGCCATGCCGCATTGCGGCAGTCACTGCTACAAAAGGGGCCCAAACCAAGTATTGAGTACATATGTATGCTTATACTTTGCAGAGGTCTGATATTGTTCTATTTCCAATCCTTGTGTTATTGATGTCATGTAAGATTGTGAATTTGGGGTTTTCATAAGCTGTACGCCATAATCATCACAATTATACCAAAGTAAGGCTTGACATATCTCGCTTTGCATGTCATGCGTCTATCTCATATATTGGTTTCACCTTTTGAGTTGCCTTACTGACATAAATGAACATTTGCACAATATTCTAATTTTTCGAGTTTCACCTGTATTTTCAGGTTTTGATGAAGGAAAAAAATGTAGAATTCATAGACATTATTAAATCTGTTTTTGTTTCGATAATTTTTCTTTGTAAAAAATATGTTATAAATTAGTTCTTGCGAGTTTATGGTCACTACCTGCTTCCTCTCTGTGAGGCCTTCAGCCTTATGGCTGCTACAGCTCAATTTTGGAAATGCTGCAGTGTAAGAGCAAGCTTTCAAATACAAACTGCCATTTGCTTTCCTTTTGTGACTGGGAGAGGTGCACCTTGATAATTTCTGCCTCGCTGTTCAAGATTGTGAAAACTGACAAAAAGAGATAAATCCTTCTGCCTCTTAAGCATTGTTGTGGGACAGGGCATTTCAACCCATAACAACTTCTACAGTGCCTATCTCAGTCCCTTCTGGCTTCTGTCTAAAATGGCACAATTATTGACCTATCCTTCAGCAGGAACAGAGTATTTACTGGATTGACTCAACCTCCCATTCTGGGTCAGTCCCTTCATAGGTCCAAGAAGAATAGGGAGAGAAAGCAACCAACTAAACCCACCACTTGATCAGAGAATCAGAAAGAAGGAAAATTCCTTTGATGGTCTATCAATCACAGTGTCACCACTTTCTCCAGACTATGTTTTGGGAAATTAATAGATTTCTTCCTTATGCTGCAACCTTACACTGAGCAATTGTGCTGAATAACTAGTGCTTTTGTGTGGTTCACCAACCTCTCTATTGTAACTGACCTCATGTTTCAAAAAATACATTCAGCTAGTTGTCCTGCAATGTCAATTCAATCATTCCCAACACACTTCAACAAAACGGGGTCCTTACTGCACCATAACAACACTTTTTGAATACACTATGCCTTGGGGCTTTGTATCAACTCAGAAAAGTCACGCCTGCGCTTGCAGATCATCCAATTTATATGAGCATCCTGGATTCACCAAGTGAAGGCTTTATTTCTTACCAGCATAATTCTAACTTCTTCCTTGCCAGATTGGTTTGAAACCAGCCCTATACTGTGGTTATAGTTATTCAGCAATGATTGACCCATATGGACAGTCCTTTCTTTCACTAGAATATGAGGGTCCTACAAAATTGTTTTTAACTTTTTAGCAGATCAGGGTCTTCTTTCCAATCTGTTACTACTTCTCTTGATGGGCTTTCCTGAGCATCCTGCTCTTAAGTTGTCCATTTTCTTTGTCAGTGCTTGCTCAAGCATTTATGATAGATGCATTTCAGTCTGGCTGGGGATATATTAGAGCTCTGATTGTCCATGTAGATTATTCATCCCCAGATTGTCAATAATCTGTCACCTGAGGGACTCAAGCAATTGACCTATTATCATCCAGAGACAATATACAATGTTCCCAATATTGCAGCAGGGCAGGGCCCCAGCCTAAACCCAAAGGGGCTGCCATTCTCCACAAAGAGAAAAGCTGTTGTATGTATTCCTGCCAACCCCACTGACTGACAAGAAGCTATGTGAATGGACACTGCTCTGTGCATACTGATTACCCAATGGTGACAAGTTCTAAAGACTTACCTCAAACTACATGTCCATAAATAAGCTCACAAAGACTGAGGCAAAATTGCCATCCAGATCTAGTCTCCCTACATCTAATAGCTAGGTTTCTTCACACCAAGGTTTTTCTGCAACAGTACAACACATTCAAGCACTTGTCTGCCTGCCATCTGTGTACCCTCATACACAAATGGACTTAGTTAATTCAGTTTGTGCATGCCTTTCATTTTTATCCATTTACTTGCCCTCTGAAGTTCACTTTTCAGTTTATTCTTTCGCTCATGTCATGTGGTCTTGCTAATTCCTCACTGCATGTTTAGTGGTGGTGAATTTCATGTACTTTGTAAGGGCTACACTTCTCATACCAAGTGACAAAAATGGTTCCTGAGAGGATTAACTAATGTTTTCCCACTATAATGCCTTTTGTCCCACATGAAGACTACCATTCTATCAACTTTCTTGCCTAATCACTGGCTACTGTGGATCTCTGGATGTTGATATTGAAGACTGTGTTTTTAATACCAATCATGTATGTTGTAACAGCAAAAGATGTCTGTGATCTATATGCAGACGAACCTATTTGCAGTTCCAAAGGGAAAATGTGTTCAGACCAGATACTATTGTCCTCCCTAAGGTGATCACTGATCTTCTCATAAGCTAATATTAGATATACTTTTCCTGCCTCCCTTTTCCCTTCATTTTCTGGATGTGCAGTACGCTTTAGCTTTCTATGACCCTGCACTGTAATATTTTATTAGTTTCCAAGACTTTCTTATTTGGGGAACCAAAGAAGGGTTTGCCTGTCCTCACAATGCTTTGCTCAGACAGTAACGTTAGTTTATCATGTTGTAAATCAACTGGCGTCAATCAGTTTAGGAGTCAATATAGAATAAATGCATCATCATTTTCCATCATATACAACATAGCATCTCTGAATCAGACTGCTGCAAGATAGCACTATAGTTTCAAACATTAACCTTCATCAAGCATTAGCAGACAGATACTCATGTCAGGGTTCAAGCATCATTTTGATAAACTCTTTTGTTATCAATCCTTGCTTGGCATGGTGCGCTTGCCTTATCACATGGGAGATAAACTTATTAATCCCCTGTACACATAATAGACAGAAACCATGTAGAAGAACAGATTGTTTACCTGAAGTTGTAGTTCTTTAAGTGGTTATCTGCATTTACATAGCCATGCTCCTTCCCCTCTGCAGGTACCTACAGTTTCCTGACTGTTTTGGTGTTTCAAGGAATTGAGGGAAGAGGCAGAAATTGGCTCGTGTGCATAATGAACATGTACCAAAATCTTCAACATTAGAAGGTTCTCAAACTGGGCTCTACACAGTTGCTTAACATTATCTTTGGATGCATAGCTGACCACCAGAAAAAAAGCACAGAGCTGAAATAACCTGCAGTACATACTAGGATCAACTGAAGAACAGCTTGGCAGAAGAAGTAGATCTAAGTTCCTAAATAGGCAGAAGAGTCTTTTCCATAAGAAGTACAGGAAAAAAAAAATCAAACCTCTAAAATATTGCAATGTATTCTTCAAAGTAAGTAATTAGAACACCTAAAAAAACAAAACAGCCTTTAATGTAATGAAGAGTTTAGGGGGGAAATGGATTCTTAATATTGCTTCAATTCTACATAAACATTATCTTACCTTCAAGTCAAGATGAACTACATTATTTTGATGTAAAAATGAAACTCCTTCCAAAATCTGCCTCATGAGACGCTTAACATCTTTTTCCTTGAAGGCATCTTCTCTTTCAGCTACACACTGGTCAAAGATTTCCCCACCAGCAGCACTGAGAATGAGCATATTTGTTTGTCAAATTTAAATTTCCAATTATTCACTGTTAATTACATTTATATCTCATTTTTATATTAAAATCATGCTTAAGATAATTTTAAAAAGAGGCAAAACAATATTTTAATTAAAACATTAAAACTCAAATAAAAATGCATCAATGAGAATAAAAACAGCTAACAGATTAGATCTACTTAAACAGCAAATCAATTTCAACATCAGAAGACCTATGAATAAAAAATATATTTGCTTGCCAGCAAAGCTGGAACTAACCAAGCCTCCTTTGGAAGGAAGTCCAAAGCCTTAGAACCACCACCATAAAATATTTAAGTGAAATGTCTCATTGTTTAGGTTCTTAGATTACAGAGTGTTTGCACTTCAATTTAGTAGGAGTGGATCTCAGCAAATGCATTTAAGACTTTTTGATATAACAATGGATGAATAAATGCTTATATTAATTACTGTTCTTCTACAGAAAAAATATACATTTTGGTTGTTGTTAACAAATTATGCAAGGATTGCCTTCATTATTTTAGAAGACTGAAGAAGTATAAAAGTTGAACCAGAGGAACAATCTTTACAATATTTTACTCGCAATATTTATAAAAAAATTTCATAAACCAAATACCCGGTTTTTGAGTTTTAAATCACATATCTCTTATCTTTAAAGAGATTTTTTCTGAAAATAAAAGTTGCATCCTGCAGTCAGCTTGGTTAAATCCTTCTATTGTTAAAATCATTTATCTAGCCCAGATAAGTAACAAAAATGTTTTATAACGAACAGTGGCTATGCTATGCTGCAATTAATTCTTTTTCCTTCCCTTCATACAAAAAGGAATTGGTACAGAGAATGCTTTTTCTAGAAAGAAGGCATTTAATTACTAATTAGTATACTCTTCTTCCTTCCAAAGAAGCCCAGAATGGGCTTATAATCAATAAAAAAGGTATTATCCACCAATGGAATTATAGGTAGTCCCCAGTTTAAGAATGAGTTCCAGTCCCAAGGTCTGTCCTTAAGTCAAATTTTTATGTAAGCCAGAACCCTATTGTATAACACTGTATAAGCAGTAAATATTTGATCCCTAAGCCTAATAAATACCTTAAATTGGGCCTAGCACCTCATAGATAATGCAGTATGTTCAAGTTAGGTGTCACGTGATCCATTTACCTTCTTCACTTAACATCAGGTAGCTGAGTTATGTTAGGGTCATACCTAACATCGGTTGAAACTGATATAGGGCTTCCTTGCTATTGAGGCCATGGGCAGATTAAGGAAGATGACCTTGAAGGAGATACGTAAGATCTGTTGCCTAGGCAAAAGGGACTGAAACATTTTTTAGGTCCAAAATGAGATAACACTCAGAAGTGGCTCAGGCAGATGCTTCCGTAATTTACTGAACTATGAGGAGGAAGAGGTACAGCATAAACAGACTTGCAAGATTCTGTTATTTTAGAAATAGTTTTAGCCTTCTTGGGAGTTGATTTCCTGGTCTGGTCTACCTAGTGGGGATAACAGGCCACCTATTCCCTTAATGCAACAGTTCTCAAAGGAGTTCTCTTTCAGGGGATCCACAAAGTCAAATAAATAAACATTTTAAAATTTCTGTTTTAATTTTTAATACACTAAATATCAATAGATATAGCCCATGTAAACCAAAGCTCTTTTGGGTCCAATCATATTTAAGAATGTGAAGAGGTCCAGAGACCATGTTTGAGAATTGTTGCCCTAGTGAGAGCTTGGAATTAAGGAAAACCTCCAGGCTACTTAGCTGTTACTTCATAGAGAGTGCTACCCCATCAAGTATAGAGTTATTCTATTCTATTCCTGGCTCTCAGAACTATCTACTGTTCCACTCATCTGGATTGAAGTTCCATTTGCTGTCCCTCATCCAGTCCATTACTTCCTTTAGGTAATTGTAACACACCTACATAGACTCTCTCATTTAGATGAGAAAGAGAAATAGAGTTGCTGTGATCCTTACTCCCAGATACTAGATGTTTTTTCATTTCATGTAGATAGTGAATAGCAGGGTAGAAACAATGGAACTTTATTTGACTCCGCAACTCAAGTGTCATATGGCCCATCAGAAATCTCTGACTGCCAGTCTTTGGTAGTGATCCTGTAGATCCACTGATCACTAAATAATATACAGTAACTAGTCAAAGGCTTCTGAGAGCCTTTCAGAAGAATCAACACAGTAACATTCACCATGTGTCTATTCCAACAGAATTCATCAAACAGGGCAGTTGGGGCTCTAGCTTTGTATATCTAAGTTTAAAGCCTGAATGAAAGGGATTTATACAATCAGTTTCTTCTTGGATGGCTAGGAAAAGAGGTGGCAATACTACTCTCTCAATGAAGCAAGCATAACTTCCTCATGTAAAGAGGCACTGGTTCTACACCACAGGTAGCTGACTTTATCCCTTTGTCTACTTTCTCAAGTTGCAATAACTGAAAGTGACTCCATGAATGCTGTTTAAAAATTCAACAAAGTCTTCAAGAATTATGCCTAGTCGATCGGATACAAGATATTTTATATACATCTGAAACCAGAGTAGGTTACTGATTGATCAGCTCATCTGGTCTAAGACTAGCCTTGAACAATCTGGCCTCTGTTCAAGAAATCCCTGCTGGGGGGTTCACAAAGACTGTACACTCTTTGCTATGTGCAGTTGTGTTCCCTGACTTTTACTTGGTCTCATCTGCTGCAAGATGTGCTCTAAACATATGCTTGTCCACTTCACTGACTTGGAGATGTTTAGTATATCAAGGGTTATCTCATAAATGGAAAAGGTTCATCCAGCTCAAATATCATCAGAAAGTGACTTGCACCTAATCAACTACCAGTTCACTGCTAATCTATCCTACCCCAAAGACCAGATTGTGAGAATATCCTACAATATGTATTGAGTTTGTGAGGTTCTTAAGAAAGGCCCGTGGTTGGCACTGTGGTCAGAGCTAGACTGAATTGGAAATGGATATTCAAGTCTCCCAGGAAAACTGCACTGGGATTCTCAAGACCATTCCAGACTGATTCAATCAGCTCAAAAAGAAAAAGACTGAACAACAGGGTGGGAAATACATTTACATCAGAAGATACTTGTTCTATCTTGGAGACTAGGTACAAAGGTGTAGAACCAGCTCCCAGATGGATTTGTTTCCTGGTAAAACCCAAAGAATTCCAACAAAAGGCTTATGCAGGAACAGCAGTGTTAAGGGCAAGGACAGATGCTGGCTTAATAGCTTCTCTTTATTGTTGATTCAGCAGATCAGTGTGTTTCATAGCAAAATATGATTAATATATTAAAGCAACCCCATAGACTGTTCAAGTCTCTAATCCTGCAGTGCCTTGATAGCCTTGTCACCCCACAAACATCTTTCATGCTGCTCTTTAGTAGTGATCCACTAGTAATGGCAAGCTCCTTATCTCATCTGCAGCAATTAAAGCAGGACTCTCATGAGGGATAGGGAGAGAAAATGCTTCTTTGCAAGAGTCCCATAGGTATGGAATATAATCAAAAGGTTAGGGAGTATACTATAAATGCCAACTGCCTCTCAACCAGCAATGATTCTGCTATTGCTAACTGCCTCTTCTTGATGGAGCCTTTGGTAGGGTCCATATTATATTCTTATGATAATGTAGACATGTACATTTGTATTTCAGTTCAAAATTCTGTGAAACATCTCTCAATTTCAGGGAATGCTGGTAAAAAACTGGTATAGACATCATATAACTAATCCAGGAAATCACTAATTCACAACATCTAGAATTTAAATGCAACATGAAACCAACCACTTTATTTTTTAAAGACAACTACACCACACCATTAATGTAATAATACTTTGAGCTGTTGTTTTGTATTTCAGCCACAATCTGAGCAGTAGGGAAAGAAGGCATAAACTACAATACATTTCAAATGCAAAGTGCATCCATATCCACATTAGCCACCCAGGTTTATAATGCACAAGAAAAAATGCAGTTTAAGTATAGTATGTGTAATTTACGTATACCAAGTGAATGAGAAAGTAATTCCACAGCATTAGGTTTTCTAGGTATAGAATTTTCAAATCCTAACCGTCCAGTAAGATTAGATTCTACTGAACATCTGTATGTTTCAATCTCTCGAACAGAGATCTAGAAATATTTATTTAGCCTTGTTGTATAGCTTTTCCTCATGTATTTTTAAATATATATTCTTACGCTTAAAAGATAAACAGAAAAAGCATCAAGATAAAATGATAAACAAAAGAAACATGAAAAGCACTAAGTATCTGAAATATTTCTGTGAGAATGTTTCCTTTCTGCTTTTATTTTGTAGGAAACATCAATTTTGCCTTATCAATATAGAAAATAGTTTAGAAAACATTTAAAATATTGAGATCTTATTTTGATCAGGACTATTTAACAATTATTTGCTTTATTATTTTACTTGACAGCTTTAGTGAATCATTACATGTATATGTATATGAGTATGCATGTGTATGAGTGTTGCATTTTCTGCTTCTCTCTGAAGTTCATACAATTTGAAAGAATTACATTTATTATCACGTTTTAGGTGCCAGAGCAATATAAAGAGTCTATTTTTTTCAGTTGGATAGTAAACCAAGCTTCTTTTACTCATTATTACTAGGGGTTTTTTTGTGCTCTTTATACTTGTATCTGTATATTCTTCTCTTACTGTTATTTGCTTCTATTTAATTATTGAACAAATTGTTATATACCACTTCAGAAACTTGGTCTTAAATGGTCCTATATTTTATGTTTATACCATTGGTAGTCTATTTTTCATTATAACTACAATAATAATCCCAAAGTCAGATTCTTACAATATAGATTCAAATTATTTGAGAAACATCTATTTTTGTACTTGCTAAATGGAGGTGACTGTGGTGTAACAAAATGAGCAGAATATCCCTTAAAGTTGGATATTCTACAGGCAGAACTCTGAAGATATCTCTGGTTGAACAGAGGCACCCCTTTATCCTGAATAATAACTGACCCTGAATAATAACAGTAGGGTCATCTGATCAGACATTACTGGGGAATCAGAGAGGTTATTATAGCATAGAGAGAACAGGGGAGTCTGCTTCCATCAGTCCACTTGTCTAAATTGAAAGAAACACTGTATTTTACTGAAGTTGAACTTGAGCATGATTTAGTGAAAATTCAGACACAATTTTTAAAAATCCTGAGAATCAAAGGAACATCGAAGTGAGAATTTACTGGCATTTATTAACAGTCATGTTCCTCTGAGTCAGTATATTCAAGGTATCTTAGGAATTTGCTGTTTAGGGACAGAACTCTTTGCAATCGAAAACTGCTAAGAAAAAAAAAGCATGTTTAAGCGTTTAATAACAATCCAAAATATTTGAACATTGCTATTCATCTCTATAGAACATAACAACATACAACAATTAATTATGGAGTTGCCTTTATATACTATTCAGGAGTTTCAACTGAGCAGGAATCCAAGCCATTTATCAGGGGCACTTTGCCTCTCCTACTAGTATGTTCCAGCATTTATGGCAGGTAATAATTTTCAGTTCCAAAGATGAAACCTTATTCTGTACTTCAGTATGAATATCTGCCATGATTTATGTTCATTTTGTTTGTTCATTGGATGTGGTTCAGAGCTCCAGAGATAAAGCAGGATGAAATCAAAATAAATTAGAGGGAAACTGAAGTTATTCCATCAAGCATATATTAAAAGTCCAAGCATTCTATACTGTATCATAAAAATGTAATACTTACTATTCCAAAACCAAAATGATTTCTGTTGGGGTCTCATACACTTCATGCAAGTTAATAACCCACTGATTGCGTTGTGCCAATTCCAGAACTGCAATCTCATGAATTATCTCCATTCGACAGTCTTGGCCTTTTCTTCGTTTCCTCATGAACTTTGCTGCAAACTCTTTTTCAGTCTCTTTCTTTACACATTTCTTTACTACTGCAAATTTCCCCCTACAATTGGAGAGACAGAGGAGAATAAACAAACTGGATATAAAGTTAGGCTATAATCAGCCTACAAAAGTACCCCTAAGTAATGAACCTTAAAATAACTTTTTGGGGAAAAAAATCAGTTGAGAAATATGAAAGGATTACAAATGGAGATGACAATGGTGATACCTTTCCTGGATATTGGGAATGAGAGACAGTAAAACACTTGTCTAGGAGCATCCACAGATGTTAATTTTCTCTCCAAATTACATAAAGAAAACCTTAATCTACCTGTCTGTCTGTCTATGGCTTGAAAAATACTTAGAAAAAAAATTAATTTTTTATTTCCCAAATATTGAACTAATAATTCTTTAAAAAGTGCCTAAACCAGGGCTGGGAAGCTTTTTTGTGTCATTTGTTTTCACGTCTTTCAAGGGCAGCAGTAGTCATGACTGGTAATGTGAATGTATTGGTGAAGGAAGTAGAACAAAAATTTCAACCCATCTGAAGGGCTTAATGGACAAAATTGGCACATTAAGGCTTGTAATGGCTTTATGTACATAATTTTTTACTTTATTTTAGCAAAAACACCCCAAATCATGTCATTCACCTTAATTTTGATAAAGTTATCTGGAGATGCCCTGGTAGTGCAAAATAATTGTTGGGGAACACATGAGGCCTATAGTTTGCCCATCTCTGGGCTAAGCATTAGGTTTAATAAATAGGGGCAATCATACTTCATGCTTCTATGCAAAGATGGAAGCAACATCTGGTATTAATGTCTTGAAGATTTCACTTTTTTATATCTTCCCTGTGAAAAACAATTTTCTAATTCCTTTGGTGACAAAGGTGAGCTGGGGAGGACTGTATCTATGAGGACAAAGAGTAATTCAACTAAAGTTACTATTACCATGCAACTTCCAAGTTATTTGCAAAGAATTTTCTTTGTAATAATGGAACTCCAGTTGGCTTGGTATGATTTTTTTTTTTTTTTACTACAAATCCATATAGAGTCTATAAGGTCCAACTCTTTATTCATAAAATACTTTATTCAAAACAGTTGAAAAATAATTAAGAGTAGACCATCAATTTAATACAGTACAAAATCAGAAAGTTAAATTATAGTTTCTCATATTGTCCTCTGGTGTCAGAACTTCAGACGGTAACCAATTACAATCAGAACTTACAACTCCTTTTCAAATCCTTGTTTTTTAAACATAATTTTATTAAACATTAAAAACATTACAATTAATGTTTCTTTAACAATAGTTATTAGTTTGTATTTTTCTGTGTATGCTAAATAGGTAAATATGTTTCTATTTTGTAAAGGAGTATATTGTTTTTAAAAAAGAATATATAAAGAGAATTATATAGTGAGAAGAAACCCTTTACTAAACAAGGAAAAAAAAGACAACCCCCCCCAAAATGGAGAATTTTTAAATCATATTAAACAAAATCAAAAGCTCAGAAAAAAAACCCTTCCCACACTTAAATTATATATAGAAAAGATCTTCTTTTATCTGACTATTGAAATTATGTAACTTTTTCCCATTTCATCACTGTGATTCAGTTTTTGAGCAGCTAATTAAACTGAAACCATACCGAATCATATTGTCTGGCCTTCTATTTCCTTTAGTAGAAAGCTAATTCAAAGGCTCTTCCAAATCCCTGTGACATTTATTAATTTGGTTCAGTCATTCTCTAAATACAACTCATACATATTAATTATCAAAGTTAAAAAGTCCTATTCTTGATGGAAAATGTTATATTAATGCTGATTTCATTACATTATTATCTTTGGTGTGGACACCACTAAAACATCTGAGGTTTGTATATCATGTGCTTTGTATAAAAAGAAGCAAGTAATAACTAAAGTTACATTTTTAGAGAAGAAAGTTAAAGAATTATTTCCCTTTATATATCCATTTTCTGATTTAAATATTTGATCTCTGTTAAATATGAGCTAAAGTTTAACAGTTCCATAACAACATTTTTTTAGTGCATCAGACAGTCATAATGAGAAAACGGTGAAAAGTCTAGTAAGCTATTGTTGTTCAGACTTCAAGAAAATTCTGAATCATCTATTTGGGATAAAAATGGAAATGTGTATACAGCTTTCAGATCCAGATTCTGCTATGCGTCTAATTATAAATCTATTTCCTTGATAAAAGTAGATGTTAAGATTTTAACACGTACTTCACTTCATAAATTATAGGCGTTCCAACTACTCTGTACCAGTCTAGGCTGGACTGCATAGGATCATCAAGCCTCTGACAATATTAAATGTTTAATTGAGGTTCTTGCTTTAACTCAAAATAAACATGACTTAGCAGCTATACTTTCTTTCACATGGAACAATCCTTTGAAGTGGTTTCCTGGAAGTTTTGGGGGTGAGGTTTGACTTATTTAGGGTTATTCCCAAAGTTTATGTTTTAGATTGCTACAATTTATTCAATCCCTACATCATGGGTGATCATTAGTGGTGTGCCCTGCCCATGATTAGATTTATGTTGCAGAACATTCAAAATATGCAAAGTTCCTTTTTTGGCCTTTCTTTTTAATATAGTTTTAGGATCTCTTGCCTACATATTTACAAATGGAATTAATGGCATTACACTGGATTGGGGGAGAAGATAAGATTTTTTTATATGCAAATGATATCTTACATTTTATTGATATCTCTGTAAATCTCTACTCCTACTCATTGTATTAGTATATGAATTTGGGATCCTACAGTGGGGCAAAAAAGTATTTAGTCAGCCACCAATTGTGCAAGTTCTCCCACTTAAAAAGATGAGAGAGGCCTGTATAAGATTTTTTTATATGCAAATGATATCTTACATTTTATTGATATCTCTGTAAATCTCTACTCCTACTCATTGTATTAGTATATGAATTTGGGATCCTACAGTGGGGCAAAAAAGTATTTAGTCAGCCACCAATTGTGCAAGTTCTCCCACTTAAAAAGATGAGAGAGGCCTGTATAAGATTTTTTTATATGCAAATGATATCTTACATTTTATTGATATCTCTGTAAATCTCTACTCCTACTCATTGTATTAGTATATGAATTTGGGATCCTACAGTGGGGCAAAAAAGTATTTAGTCAGCCACCAATTGTGCAAGTTCTCCCACTTAAAAAGATGAGAGAGGCCTGTATAAGATTTTTTTATATGCAAATGATATCTTACATTTTATTGATATCTCTGTAAATCTCTACTCCTACTCATTGTATTAGTATATGAATTTGGGATCCTACAGTGGGGCAAAAAAGTATTTAGTCAGCCACCAATTGTGCAAGTTCTCCCACTTAAAAAGATGAGAGAGGCCTGTATAAGATTTTTTTATATGCAAATGATATCTTACATTTTATTGATATCTCTGTAAATCTCTACTCCTACTCATTGTATTAGTATATGAATTTGGGATCCTACAGTGGGGCAAAAAAGTATTTAGTCAGCCACCAATTGTGCAAGTTCTCCCACTTAAAAAGATGAGAGAGGCCTGTATAAGATTTTTTTATATGCAAATGATATCTTACATTTTATTGATATCTCTGTAAATCTCTACTCCTACTCATTGTATTAGTATATGAATTTGGGATCCTACAGTGGGGCAAAAAAGTATTTAGTCAGCCACCAATTGTGCAAGTTCTCCCACTTAAAAAGATGAGAGAGGCCTGTACATCTTTTTAAGTGGGAGAACTTGCACAATTGGTGGCTGACTAAATACTTTTTTGCCCCACTGTATCTGGTTTACGCTAAACATCGGAATAAAACAGTTAGGAAAGTTTGGACTCCTTTCTTTACCTTAATATAGGAATACTCAGCAAGGTTTTACAACTGGTAAATTTGAACTTATCTTCCTGTTTGGTGCAAATATAAGATCTAAACAGATGGTCTAGAATTCCTTTGTGTATTTGGAGTAATAAATATGAGACTAAGATGAATCCAAAGTTAAAGGATTTACATCTGGAGAGGCTTTCCTCTACTAGTCTATCACATTATTTTAAATGAATTTACACAACAATGAATAGCTTATTTTATATACTGTGAGATTTTAATTGTATAAATTAGAACTACCTACTGGGAAAGGTGAATTTAATTTTCCATATGTTTATGCTTATCACTGGGCATTTATCCTAGCTTTGGTTACTGGCAGGAATAAGAGATTTCAGAAGTCAGCTTCTCTTTGGACTCAACTTTAGATATATTATCTGACAGTAGTAAATTCTTGGCAAGTATTGGGATCCATATTTGTGTAGGGACAGTTTCAACACCTAGACTTAATGCTGCAAGACATGTATAGAAAATATTTAGGCAATACAGTATATGCAATTTTAATCTGTTTACCTCTGAAAAGCTTATGTTTTATTATATTTATATGATAATTCCAGTTTAAAAAATAATGCCTGTTTTGGTAAATTTTTATTTTAGATCAATTCAGTTTTAAGGAAGCTTTTTTAAAAAAAAAAAATAGTTTGCTTCTTGACACTTTATTCAGTGTAAGAGTATTATTCAGTCTATGTGATCTGGATTGAAAGGGGACAGTTATGATTCTTCATTGGAAATTGTGGGGTTTAACTCTGATTTTTATGCCAGTAGCCTTCCTTTATATAATTTGAAAGTGGTTATATAAAGCACTGATGTCCCGTTTCACCCCCATGTGCTCTCCCCCCCAAGGCCTGGTAACCAGGGATCCTGGCTACTGCTTCTTAACACAAGGTGGCCTATAATAAAGTTGGCCTCATCCACAACTGTATGTATCACCTGGCTGGGCATGTGGGGGGCAACATCCCTTCTCAGAGATGTGCCCAGCCAGGTTTTGTGTATGGCATGAGCCCTGAACCCAGGGGATGGAGTCAAAGTGTGGCAGTTGTTATCCAAGAATTCCTAGTGGCTTTCAGGGGCACTGCTCCACAAATTGCCAGTTGTGAGGTCTCATTTGCGAAGTGAGCTGTAGAGATCAGGACTGCTACTTACGTACCAGCCTCTTTGCTGCATAGCAACCTCCCTACCAGAGTT